GTTTTTGTAATAAAGGACTGAAGGTATGGAGAAAAAGTTTTTTTTTTTTTTTTTTTTTTTTTTTCTAAAGAAGATGAGCACTGTACTCTGAAAACAGTCCTGTTAGAGAGGGATCTGAAGCTGGCCATGCTAACTGGTCAGCTCTCAGAACTTTTGGCTAAGACATTTTATTATGGCTAGTCAAGACTCATACAAATGAAAGACTGAATGTAGTATCTGTCAGTATGTAAATAAAGTTTGAGTACAGTAGACTAATGACTTTCAATGTAAGTTAGAATTTTAAATACCTTTTTTGCAAATGCTACCCTTATCTTCTTCTGTGTGGCATATAACCACATTATATGGTAGTCTGATTCTTCATCCAAAATATCATGGTCTTGTAAAGGTCAGTTAACTCTTTTCCTTCTTTACTGGTCCTTTCCGAGAAGGTAGAGGGAGGAAGAAAAAATAGCATGATATGTCTTCTCATGTCCCTGCAAGCATAGATCCTTGAATACATTTCGTACATATGTAGCATGTTACTCTGTGCACTTTTTCTGCAATATCTCCCTGTTAATACATACTTCTATGGAAACCCCTGAGATTCAGAGAGAACATCTGCAGAGAAGCCTTTTGCTTCAGTCAGAATATTGGTGTATTGTTTTAGCAAATGGTAATCTGTATTGTGGGGTGGGGAGGCTAGACTTCTGCCATAGTGACTGATCTCTTTGATGGTATGAGCTGTTGAGGGACAAACTCTTTTCCGTATGCTCCCCATGTGGCTGAAGATACTGAAAGCAGTTAAAGTTAGCCCAGTTCCTCAACTGTAAGTTGTTTACTTCTGTAACTGATTTGAAGAAAAGAAGTTCAGCATGCCTGATCACTCATCACAAAAACGAGCGTCAGCAGTGGAGACTCAGAACCATGGCCACCCGTGGTTTTCATCTGCTAGCCCACATCTTCATTTATGCTCCCAGAAGTACATCTGCACTCTTGCACACAGGATCTTAAGCACTGCGTGCTGTGCTGGTGCTGTCTTAATCTGCCCTTGCTAACCAGATTCATCACCTTATTTTCTAAGGGTGAGAAGTAAACCTTCTTAACATCTGTCTCTAGGCTTCCTCTCTGCGGGCTGTTGTAACGCTGACACGGGTCTTTGTATGGACAGCACATCCTCAGAGCTGATGTGCGCTGAGCAAGTGCTTGGATTCTGGCCGTGGCTGGTGTGTCGTAACCTGTAGATAAACATAGACCTCAGGAATGGCCAATGTAGTAACAGAAATGGCTGAAGTCTCTACTGGAAGCCTCATTCCTAGCTGTGTATTGATTCAGCTGTATATGACGGATTTAAGACTACAGTCGCTGTTGAATGGTTTTCAATGGTTTTCTGTTATTGTTTTGTTGATTTTGTTTATAAAATATTAATAGAACCTTTTTTCCTCTTCCTTTTGCTGTCGAGGAGACTTGAATACTATTAGCTCTTTGTTTTACAGAAGGTAGGTTTTGTGAATCTCATACACCTTGCTTAATCCTTTTCTGAGCAGCTAAAAGCTACTTTTTACAGTAGATCACTTAAAAATATAATCGCTGTAAAGCGTTGCAGGCCACTTAGAAAGAGCTAGGCAAAGCATTAGCAGGGATGGCTGCAAGCAACTGAAGTTGGCATAGTAGTAGCAGGAGAAGCATGCGCCGCAGGGATTTTATGGAAATGTACAGCACCTTGCATATTACTTGCATCTAGAAGGCAAGGCTTCCTGTAGTGTTCAAAAAATAGTATCTTACTGGTTTAACATACAACTCTTGGAAATATTTTTCCAACTAATCAATTCCTGGTAAGGTCCTAATGGACCTTACTAATCAATTCAGTATTGGCTATATCCAAAGTAAGATGATTAGGTGAGGAGCTGATTGTCTGTTCCCGCTTTGCAGGTTGTGTAGTGACATGAGTGTGCACGAGTGTGAGGGAGAATCAGCCTTATTCCAAAGGCGTTGGGGGGGCGTACTCTTGTACGAAGAGAGGAGGGAATTTTCTTCAAGGACTGAATGGCTCGCACAGATCATGGCAAATGAGGCATAAACTCAATTGCAGCTTTCAGAGATCATACTGTGAAATACACGGTTTAGTCCAATGATTATTAGACCTATTTCTGTAAATGAAGACACATTCAGGTCTTGATTCCAGTTTGTATACGCCAGTAGTATGAGGAAATGAAGTGTTCTACTACGTGCATATCATGTATAATAAAATAACTACCACAGCTCACTTCTCAGTAATGGAAATGAAAGCTGCTTCTTCATGAGGTTTTAGAGTAACTCCTTGATTCTGCTTCAGAAAAAGTTAGTCCCCTGGAATAAATTCCTTGCCTCAAGTAGTCTTATACAGCAGACCTCTAAAGTGTACAGGAACATGTGTTCTCTGCTAAGCATAGATGTACCTTTTTGCATGTGGTTCATGCTGGATATTTCATTCCATACTGCTTGTCTGCCTGATGATGCCAAGTAGCTGTGCCAACAGCTTTTATGATCTCTTAAGGGATATCCAGAATGAAGCCTATCATACAGGCCATAATTTTTACAAGACTTACGTAGATTGCTTGCCTCAATCTCTAATGTAAACATTCATATATTTGGGACTTTCCATACTAAAGCCATTGTAATGTTCAGTATAAACAAGAGAAAAATTATCAAAGGTGTTTTTCGCAGTTGAAAGCCGCAGCGCATGTGGTGAAGAGGGGGTTGACAGTGTACAGTGGGTTTTTCTTCTTGCCCCAAGCCTTAAAAAAAAAATGGGCTCATGTACTTCATGAATTCCTGATGTTCACAGCTCAGCAATAGAAGTCAAATTGCTCCCTGCAGCGTCTTATGACAGAAGGCTGGCCCCATCTCAGCTGTCAACTGATGAATTGTAGGTGTATTTGTGCCTAGTCAGCTTATCAGATAGATGTATCTAACTTGAGTTGTTTTTGCATTCCTGACATCTCTTGTGCTTTTCTGATGTTTTAGTTTCCCATGTGCTCTCTCTTCCCTTATTTTCTGTGCTCTAGCAAGCAGAGATGAGCTCCAATCAAGAAAAGTCAAACTGGACTACGATGAAGTTGGTACACCGTGTCAGAAAGATGTCATCAATGTTTGGGATAAGAAGTTACTAAACTGCAGAGCCAAAATCCGATGTGACATGGAAGATATTCATGCCACTTTAAAAGAAGGTATTTATGTAGGATGGCTTTTAACTAGGAAATCTGAAGATTTTATGTTGTCTGTTGATGCTGAGGGAAATCTGCCAGCAGTACGTTTTTTCCCAGTAGCACAAAATCACTAAGAAATTACCTTCTTTTTGTAAGTGCACCTATCTCCTAGTGTGAAAGATCAAATAGATTCTACTGTGTCCAAAACTTGCAGTCAGTGACGTAGAAACATAAGTAGTTGTTGACTCCTGAGAGTAACATCTTATCCCCATGTGTGTTACGTTTAGGACTGAAGTAGGAGATTTTGCAGCTAAAACCACGATTTTCTGATCTTCGCTCTATGAAGATTCCTTTTACTGCGCGTTTGAGGTCCTCTGACTCACCTACTCGCTGGAAAGGCAGGGCTGCATTGTCTAACACAGACTGTATACGAATACATGAAGGAATCTCAGCCATGCTTTAGAGAATCAGAAGAGCCACAACTTGCTGAGTGCAGACTGTGATCTTTAAATATTCTGCTTCCTTGAGTGAAAGGCCAGGGCATTTTGGCTTCAAGTAGATCTTCCCGTGGTCTAGCCATAAGAAGAAGGGCAGCCAAAGGGCCTTGTCAGTGTCACGTGGACGTATATTCCGCTTGCTCTGCTGTGCCCTCCTCTCTGTAATCTCCTGTCCATGTTATAAGTGCTGAAAAATGATCATGTATCAGTGTAATCTGGCTATGGTGTGGTAGGGAAGTTTAAAATGTTTCCAAAAAAAGCAATGGAAGAAATAAGGTGTTTCCTGTTATTTACCCAAGCTACTATAATGAGGTGGTTCCCAAGCTACTTACCTTGCAGCTGTATCTTCTGCCAGACTGCCATTTGGCATTGGGAGCCAGGGGATGCTTTTTTCTAACTTGTGCTCCTCTTACTTTCTAATTGCAAAATACTATGCATTAGCAGAGTTGATAATTTCTTTTGACTTCCAAAAATCAGTTGAGTGTGTCAGATATTGAAGGGGGGGGGGATGTATGTGAAAGTTCAAAAACAGTATTTTAATCTAGGTGGTACTTTCACAAGTGCTTGAATGACTGGAGAGAAAGGCTGTGTTTCAGTATGAGTGGTTCTGTGCTTTTCCTATGCTACAGATCGTTAATGCTCTTACGCTTGAGTGGAACGTTTGTATTCTGTGCATCTCTAAGGGTAAACACTCATTTGGTAGCCTTTCAGGAAGAGGAAGAGGAGAGGGACCTCCTTATGTTTTTACACCTGTGAATTTAGTTTGGCCGTTTTGCTCTCTGCCATTTTGTCCTCTGCCTATAATCATGTGTCATTTATTGCTGGAGGCTGACAACTCAGAGGTGGCAAAACAAATGGTGTCTGTACCTGAGCTGCACAGTGTACTGCTTAGTTTAATTATGTTAAATATGTAGTTAATGTTTAGTGCATGGGACTGAACTGTGGCTACTGAATGAACACACTGTGGGGCAGACAACACCTGAAGCTGTCTGTCTGTAAGGTGTCTCCCGGGCTGGTTATGCCAAATTGTGACAGGCTTGTAAAGGACTTCACAAAGCAAATTCTTGTGTGTTATAGTGGTAAAAATACACCCCTGCTTAGGCCTTTTGTTTTCTGTCTGACCTGCAGGTGTACCAAAAAGTCGTCGGGGAGAAATTTGGCAATTTTTGGCTGTGCAGCATCGAGTCAGACACAGACTGCCAAACAAACAACAGCCTCCTGACATCTCTTACAAAGAGCTACTGAAACAACTGACAGCTCAGCAGCATGCCATCCTCGTAGATCTAGGTACGTGTGTGTATGTGTGTGTGGCTGAGAGGTTTTTCATGTGTCTTTGAGTGGAAACATGACTATCTTAATTGAATCTATTGCTGGAGATGGGTGTTGCTGTATAAAACAGTGGTTTCTATATTGTGGGGATGTGTTCTGCCTATGCCATTTAGTGTCCTCTGAACAGGTGACTGGTCTGACTGAAGTCGGCCTGCATGTGAAAGGTCTATGGGAAGAGAGAAAATCTGGTTGTCTGATGAGGTTATTTCCTCTCCTGGGGAGACCTATGTATCAACTACTCTCTCTTTACACCAGGGCGGACGTTCCCTACCCATCCTTACTTTTCTACCCAACTGGGAGCAGGACAGCTCTCGCTCTTTAATCTCCTGAAAGCGTATTCTTTGCTGGACAAGGAAGTGGGTTATTGCCAAGGTATCAGCTTTGTAGCTGGAGTGCTGCTTCTACATATGAGTGAGGAGCAAGCCTTTGAAATGCTGAAATTCCTCATGTACGACCTTGGCTTCCGCAAGCAGTACAGGCCAGACATGATGTCACTACAAGTAAGTCAGTCTTGTAAAGCAATGTAAAATTTTGAATGAGATTTAAGTTCTCGGTGGTTGCTTGTATTCCTCAGGGGCTTATGAAGCTTCTTGTCCTGTATTGCTTTTTTGCAAGTTCAGAGTCAGAAGAGGGTGTGACAAGCAAATTAAAGAAGTTTAGAAGTTGCAGACTTCTCCTGTCACACGTCCCCATGATCTCTGGTTTGGAAACTCTGCTTTCTCTGCTGTTTTGCTCTTCCTTTTCTCTTCCTTGCTGTTCTCCCTTCCTTATTCCAAAAAACTCTTATCTGCTTGCATCTATATAGGCAATGTTTAAAAATAAGTGTGTTTTTGTTTTTCTTCAGTACATAAACACTTAGATGTAGAAGATTTTTAAATCTTTTGTCCTGTTAACTCCAAGTCAAATCAATAGTGCCACCCAGTGGCCAGTCAATACACTCCACAGGGTATTTCTACTTGGGGCTATTGTCATATATGATCAATATATGACAATATATGATCAATATATGCCTTTGAATAGTTAGCTATAGATACCTAAGGCCTCTTAGGAGGGAGACAGAAAACCTTTCAAATCTGTGCAAACTGTGGGGTTTCAAGTTTGAGGAATCTTGCACCTTGAGATGCAACTGTCTGCTGACTTACATAACTGTATGCTCTTAAGCCTGTAGCATTACAGAGGGAAATACCATTGCTGAATTGAGGCTTGTAATTCACAGTGGCGAAAGCGGATACTAAGAGGCAGCTACAAAGGTCTCAATTTTTGTCATGCTCCCTACCTAGCACACACTTACAATTAAGTACAAAATTTGCAAGGAGGGTGTTCCATCCACTTTGCTTGACCAGTAATTTAGGTACTCATTTTGCAAATGTCCAGCACAGTAGAATAGATTTTTAGGTAAAGAAATTGTATATAGTTCTTTTAAAAATGATTTAGGGGAGTATTTCACTGTGCACTAGGTATTTAGTTATGCCATGACTGATTTGTTGTGGTGAATTAAAGGTGAAAAGCCATAAAGAGCATTGTTCCACGTCTTTCCTGTGTCCTTGCCCCACAAATTACACTCTGAACCAGTGAAGGTCCAAATGTGATAAACACATGGATATGTGGTTTTTCCCCAAGAAACTGCCCATTTGTATGTTATACTGCAGTTGTAGACTCTTTCAGTAATTTATGATGCTTCAAGGGCATTCAGATATTCAGGATTTCCTCATTGTGACTTAAATGAGTCTGAAGTATTCCTCATCAGATGCTCTTAGGAAGAAAGTGTTTTTTTTAAGTTTGTGAACGTTTACAACTTGTACCACTGTTTGCCCTTTAAACGAGGTGACCTCTTCGCCCATGGTTGGCTCCTAGGCAGTTGTCCTATTCTAGACAACAGTACGAGTTTTGTCTGCTAAAGACAAACTGGACTATTTAAGATGATTTAGCCAGAGGATCTAGTTAAAGCTAAATCCTTTGTTTTGTTTTTTTAACAGGATTAGAGCGCACACACAGCACTAAAACATGAGCAAAGCCATACATAGAATTAACTTCTGTCCTGCAGAAGAACAATGTAGATATTTATTTAGGATTAAAAAAAGCTTCCTGCCTTTATAAATGCCAAGTTGTCTAGAAAAAAAGTAGAAATCTAGTTCCTTAGTTCATAACAAACCCACCCAGTAACTGGTTTAATGAACCCATCCAGTAGCTGTTTTACTGCCTCTGTGGTGGCATTCTAGTTTCCTATGTAAATATGGGTCATAGCAGCACTCTTCAAACTGTGCTTGACTGGTAGCTTTGCCCATTAAAGCAGTGGCTCAAATGCATGTGCAAATTTAGCTGACTTGTTTGAAAGAGAAAAGATCAGTCTGTGGGTGCTGCAGTCTGATAGATGAATAGTTTCAAGTACTGTCAACCTGTGTTAGTGAAAGATCATGACCAGTAAAAGTAGAAAGGTAACTAGATAAGTCATTTTATCATTGAGGAATGAATTCATGTTAAGCATTAGGCACTATTGACAGTAAAATTGGGCCTGACAGGTAATCGATATGTTCCTGCTTCTCAGTTTCTGCTTTCTGAGAGAAACGTCACTCTGTGCTAGGATTGACTTACTGCGGAGCATAAACCATCAAAATTACAAGGGAATAATTTGCCCGAGAAGGGTGTCTTTAGCAATGAGTATCAACTTTTCACCACTTTGCTTTGCAACCTTTGACAGGTTATGTAGCAGCACTTCTTGCATCAGTATCTTAAATTGCCCTGTCCTGCTGGAGAGATGTGCTGGGAAATGCATATTTGGTACACCCCTATTAACTCACTGCATCTAGTGCAGGATGTGTGTGCAGCAGTTGCCTAAAGTGCTGATTGCAGCGGAGGAGTCTTAAATACAGCAAAGATATGGCCAAAATTCAAAGGGTGAAAGCTGAAGTGTGTAAACTTAGACGAGAAATATTTCAGCTCAGTAACTGAGAATTTTGGCATCTTGAAAACTGCATTACTTGGAAAGGATGCTTTTGCTTTCATTGCCACAAGACCAAGTTCTGACTTGCTGGCCAGATTAGATCAATATATACCTTCTTGTCTTAAGCCTTTGAATCTGAACTTAAAGGATACTTCATTCATTAATGATCATATTCAAACTGTTCTGTATTATTCACTAGTGTGTTGATTTTAATTCATTGGAGGTGGGTTATTTATGTGTGGGTAGATTCCACCCAAGGCCCTAGGCAGCAATTATGCTTTGTTTTACAGTGCCATCTGTACTGAAGTTAATTTTCCTGGAGTAAAATGTGAATGGTTTGGAAAACTGAGTAAAGATGAACTTTTCTTCCTCCTCTCCCCTCTCCCCAATGTATTGTAGATTCAGATGTATCAGCTGTCAAGGCTTCTTCATGATTATCACAGAGACCTCTATAATCATCTTGAAGAGAATGAAATCAGTCCCAGTCTTTATGCTGCACCGTGGTTTCTTACACTGTTTGCATCTCAGTTTCCGTTAGGATTTGTAGCCAGAGTATTTGGTAAGAAAGACTACCTACTTTATGGCAGTAATAAGCAGAACAATGTTGTCTGTGTTTTCAAACTCCAAGGGAATAGTTTTCTACCTCCTAGTGCCATTTGGGGGACTGTTGTGGGTGGCAAGTAGAACCACTCCTCATGGAGTGGGATGTCAGCTCCTTTCCAGAGAGGAAGGCAAGAAAACAGTGACATATATTCCTGGAAACACTGAATTTGAGCAATTAAGTATGTCTGTTATTGGCCAAGATTTGACTTCTAAAGTGTGAACAGCAAAAACTTTGGCATAAATGTATATAACAGTTCAAGCGTTCTATCTATGCCTGTAGACAATTTCATCTTGTTGAACTTACAGACTGAACTTTAACATAATGAAGAAAAACGTAGAATGTGCTAATTTTCAGTAAACTGTAATAAAAACTTGATCTCTTTTTCTCATAAAAATTCAAGTAAACTTGTACTTAAAGGCTGTTTCAGGTGTTTGCGTATATTGAAGGTTCCTAGTCTAAGCATGCTTCATGTTCCATTTCAGTAATTTTCATAAGCATTCTTCTCTTCAGATAGCATCTAGTACAGAAGTTTAAATACAGTAAAGAAGTTTAAATAGTACAAGGCACTATTGTACCTTGTAGTGTTTGCAATATGAGGATGACAGTTACTTGGTTTTGTATTCCTTATTGGGAATAAGAACTGCAAAGTTAATCAAGTCACTAGAAATGAAGCACTTGCTTGTTGCGGGGCAGTTAGAACTACATTCAGACATGCATCTAGGAAGTAGAAGGACATATCATGTACTTCCTCTTAAATCAGATATGTTTTCCACTTATTTTTCTGTTTTTGCAAAGCACTTGCATTTTCGTAAGAAGTTCAGTCTGACGTTTATTGTATATTTTATTACTGAAGGAGTGTTTTGTTTTGACTTTTTTTTTTCACCTAGAGCTTTTTCCATTCCAGAGTTTTCCCTTTTACAGAAAGCATTTTCTGATTGTTTTTGGGTGAACACATGGTTTCTGTGTCTGTTTCTCAGCAGGATTATTGCGTTCTGGACTTGTTTGGGGTTTTGTTCTTTGTGTTGTCCCCCCGTTCCCCCTCCCTCCACCAAGGCTAAAGTACTTTTCATAGCTTTTTGGCTATATTTCTTGCTTCAGTGAGCTTTGAATTTGGAAAATTCGTTTTGAGGGTGAGTAAGGTCAGTGTTCATTTCTCTGTAAATGACCGGAGCAAGGCATGTTTTTATTTTGAAACTGCAGTGTCAACAGGCTGTCTTAGAGCCTAATGCTCTGGATCCCTGCATCTTCAGTGTCTTGTGAGCCTCTCACATACCAGTAAGAGGTGGCTAACGTCTACCAATCTCAAAATATATACTTACATATATATATAATGTATATTTTATGTATTTGTCTGTGTGCATGCAAAATATGTATATTTTTGCTGCTCGAATGTGCATCATATAGTTGAGAAGAGAGAGTTTTGGAAATGGTTCAGAAGTGAGATGAATGTCTTATCAGTGTCCTGGTGCTACTCCGTGACACCAGATTAGGGTTGGGGATAGCTTAGCAGTGTTGGTATGGGAAGGCATGGTTATTCAGTAGTGTGGCCCTGCTCTTGGCTGAATGACCGAGCCAACAGCACAGGAGCTGTGATGACTTGCTTATGTTCTGCCTTCACCTCAGCAGCTGCAAGTCCACCTCTGTGGTTGAGACAGATTTTCTAATTCCTGTGACCGTGTTTCTAGTTTTTAATGCAGCCTGTATCTACTTGCTTCAGCAAGGCCTGGACTTTTTTCCCATGTGGACATAATTATACCTCCAAGTATATGTTTAGGACTTCAGTTATAGCCAGTATGATTGCTACTATGGATTTTGAAGAGTATGATTGGTATTGGAAGTTACCAATGATCGGAAGTTGGCATTGGAAATGAAATGGTTATTTCTACAGGCAGAAGCCAGTCCTTAAAAAAATATGAGAGAGAGGGAGAGAGAGAAATGTCAGTACGTTGGGCTGTCACAGTTGGGCTGTGATCCACTTCTCAGTAATCATAGGTGAATTTAAAAACAGTTAGCAGTTAAGTCTATAGTGTGTAGTAGACAGTAATGAAATGCTTATTGCAGATAACTTACAGGCATAACGATACTTTCAGCATATAGTACTTTCTTTTAATGCACTCTTACATCTATAAGATGACAGAAAATGTTTTTCTTTGTTTTACTCTCCTGCTAAAATAAGAGCTACTGTATTTCTCCTGAACTAAATGAATCTGCAGTATGTTTGCTTAAAAAGAAAAAAACCTCCCATCAAATATATATTTACTGAATTACTTAAGCTCTTATTTTCAAGGTATTTTAATGTTTTTCTTTTTTAGATATTATTTTCCTTCAAGGAACAGAAGTCATATTTAAAGTAGCACTGAGCCTACTTAGCAGTCAAGAAACATCTATAATGGGATGTGAGAGTTTTGAGAATATTGTTGATTTTCTTAAAAGCACTGTTCCAGACATGACTCAGCCTCAGATGGAGAAAATTATTACCCAGGTAAGGTTGTTTTTTCTCCTTTTCTTTGTTTTTCTTTTAGTTTGTTTTTAAGAGATTGTGACTAAGGTAAATAGAAAAGGTCCTTCCAAGTATGTTCCTTTCTCAGTAGCTGAGGTGTGAAATACAAAGGAGTCATCTTCCCAGTAACTTGTATAAAAATAGGGTATGCTTTAGTTTCAGTGGTTTTTGAACTGTGGTTCTGTCAGGAATTTAGTTGCTACTTCAGTGTTAGAGAAGATCTTTTTAGGGTTATTTTCTGCCCAGCTGTTGGAAAAGCGTGACTTTGCTTATCAACTTCACATCGTCATCAGTAGCGTAGAAGTAGACTGTTTTACGAAGCTAAACCCTGCACGCGCTCCTTGTTAGTGGGTAGGGAGCAGAACTCACCATGCTGGGATGAGCCAGCATCGTAGCAATGTCTCCTTTTGATCCCTAGGAGTCCTGGCTGCCCAGGGTCAGTTACCCCATGCTAACTTTTCTAACGCCTCTAGCTTAAAATCCCACAAGTTAGGATGGTGAGGCCCTGTTTTTGTGTTTTGTATTCATACTGAGTTAACAGAAGATCTCTCGAAAACAATCTCCATGTGCAGGAGCTCAGTTAATACAGTTGCATTCTTAAGTCCCAGTTAGCCCTGGAATGTTTGAAGGGCTGTTGTTTAACAATCCTTTTGCAAACAACTGCTGTGAGCACCTTCCTGTAGTATAAGTTTTAAATTTCTCGCTGCATTGACTGTGATAGCCATGCTAAACCTTTGTCTCTTTGTGGGCACTTTAAATATGTATCCTCAGAACTCACTGATTCTGACAAGGACAGAGATGGTAGGTCAGTATTTTTGAGGCTATTAGAAATTAAATCTCTGTCCTGTGGTCTGTGTGAGTTGCAGATCAGCCATACTGTAACAAACGTGATGGAACCGGCTCGGTGCAGAGCTGGATCTGAGGGGTTTTGTTAAAAGGGTGGGTTTTGTCGCCTGAGCAGAGGTGGATGTGGCTATATGCTGGGCAGCTCAGCTCTGATGGGAGGACAGCCCACTTCCTTGTGGTATGGTCCCACACTGAGTAGCCTTCTGGATCTGCAGGAACATGCATACTGCCTGTGTCCTGTTACTGCTACCTGGGTTGGCTGTAGGTGGTGTCATCTGGGTAAATCGGTGGTGTAATTCCCAGGACTGTGATAAGGAAGGAAAACTGAGATATTATGCAGGACTACAATACTTGGAAAGGAACTGCCAGGATGGTTGCATCAGAAGAAAATGTCATGTTATATGCCTGGCTTCAACACCATACATAGTTTAAATTGCTATGTCACATCTGGATTGTCTGAAGAACAGTGAACGTAAAGCAGAACTTGTTACGTGTGTGTCTTTTGTTGGTGACTTGTTCAAGATTTCTAGAATAAGCAACAGAATTAACCTCACTGTAGACATCCTTCCCTTAGTTGTCTGAATGATTTAGTAACTTTTTGGAAGCTGAGAGGCTGTTACTTGATCTATATACAGATAAGGGTCATGTGGTTCCATCATTGTAGGACTGAGCACGCTGCAGTGTTTATTCAAAATTTTTCATGTCAGAGATGGAGAACAGAGAAGCTGTGCAACTATGTACAGTGTTTTATAAAAGTTCATGAATGGGGACTTGGAGTCAAGAGATGCAATTTTGAGTGTGGGTTTATTCTTCCTCATTGTGAGACTCTGCTCCCATCAGAAGCTGGTGAGAATTGAATTTAAATGTTTCTTCTTAAACTTCTCTATGTTCCCGAGTAATGTAATAAGACCTGGTCCAATTATTAAATTATTGTATCAAATAAGAATTTTCTGCTGATATTATCATGATATCTATTAGAGGTATCATTATCTATCCTTGTCATTAGAGATAGTATTTGGCAATTGCAAAAGAGGTGATCCAGTTTACTCTAAAATCTGTAGCTTATAATGCCTACAATTAAGACCTCTATATGCTAAAATGCTCTTACTACAGACTTGCACATAAAATGCTTTATTAAAAGGAACAGGAAAAAAGACATGAAGTTCATCAGGCAGAATTGTCTCTTAACTGAGCTTTCTTATGGAGTAAATACTCCCTATTGCAGATAAAAATTAATTTTTATGTTTTGGCAGGTATTTGAGATGGATATATCAAAACAGCTCCATGCTTATGAAGTAGAGTACCATGTGCTGCAGGATGAACTCCAGGAAAATATGAATCCCTGTGATGAAGGTGAACCTTTGGAGAAGCTGGAGAGGGCGAACAGCCACCTAAAGAGACAAAACATGGATTTGTTGGAGAAGCTACAGGTAAATGACTAAAGATCACTAACTCACGGAGAGGTTATTTCTGTGATGTAGCCAATAGGAATGTGCATGAGTGGTCTCGTGACCGCAACATTTTATGCAGGTGAACAGTTCTCTCTATTACGGTAATTTGTTTCTATGTTAGGCATATTTTTAACCTTTTTATCATTCCTTATAATATTCTTTCTTGCTTTAGATATTTATTTTCTCAAAATATCTCTAGGCTTATCTCCCGTAACATAGTCTATTGGCTAAATTTTTTGTATCTGACCTAAAAATCAGTCCTCTGACCCTTTATCACTTTGCTTCTCTGCTGGAAATTTCTAAGAAATAAGCTGTAGTGCAGTAGTCTTGCTTTCTGTATACCTGCATAGGCAGTGTCTTTCGTACAAGCTCATAATCATACTTTGTTTTGGAAGGTGGTCTCTCCTAACAGTCTTGAATACATCTGAGCACCCATCACATCTTGTCTGATTCAGTCACGCTTTGAAGAAAAAAAAAAAAAAGCCGCCTTTCTTTCTCCTTCACTATTTACCCTTTCTCCCATAGCCAGACCAGGACTTGTTTCAGGTTTCCCTATACGTATTGTCTTGCATTTTCCTGAAAAGACCACCTTGTGTCACCAGGCCGTTGCTATGTTTACTTGTTCATTTTAACCAGCATTGAGAAGATCCTGGAGAGCACCTTCAGCTTCTGAAACCTGAAAATGGAAGCAGGAAAAATTAAGGATCCTATCATGTCCCCATTATTTTGGTGTTTATGGGTTACAGGTGCTGTGCTGTGCTCTTGTGATGTTATGGAGAATGGGAATTACTTGGTTGTTATTATGGGTTACTAGCTGAGTTTTTCTGTCTGTTCTGAAACTGCATGAAGGGCATAGAAAAATTATGAATGATTTGAAAGGCTCCATGGAAGCTCTTCTGTTCTTCCAGATTGCCGTATTCTAGTATATCTTCCTCACTGCCTTAACCTCTTTCTTTTTGTTTGTATGGGCTTCCTTCCCTTTTCTAGTAACACTTGATCAGAGTTCCTCTACTTCCTGCAGAGAGAGATTTGCCGCTGGTGAGGTCCAAGGTTTCTGATTACTGGTCATCCTCCTTTCTAGAGGAAGCTGTAGGTTTTTGTTGGAGAATGGGGAGCAGTGCTTCTAGACTGAACTATTTAGGTTTGTTTTCCCCCTTTCATCTCTCCATCCTGCTACTTTACGCTTTTCCAGAGGTTTCCCATTGCTTTATCACTGTTGGGCAAGTAATCTCTTCCAGTGCTACTTCAACTGCTGTGATTTCCCTTTTTTTTCCTCCCTCTTCCTCCTGGGAAAGTGTCTTTTGCAATTCCAGTCCTGTGTTACTGCCAGCTGTTGTTCACTCACTGCGACTTGCACATCTCGTTCCCTCTGTAACGCTTTCAGAACTCCTTCAGATTAATCTGGCCACTATAAAAAAGAAAGCTGAAAGTAGAGAGCTCATCTTGGAGAGGATTTTGTATTTTCCAAGTTGTCCTGCGTGTAAGGCCATTCTCTGTGTGATGTACAGTAGGTGCTCATTGTATCGTCTGCCTACAGAGATGTCTTTTAGAAATATCTATGTAGCTATATTGTGTCCTTACCAAATAGCATACCATAATAAAAAACAAAATCTAATTCAGAATATCTCAATGTAATATAAAGATAATGTTATTGTTTACAGGTTGCTCATGCTAAAATTCAGAGTCTGGAATCCAGCCTGGAGACTATTTTGACTCGAGAGAACAAAATGAAGACTATAATTCAGTCCCTGGAACAGGAGAAGATAACTTATCAAAAGACTCTTGAGCAGATAATGAAGTATTTGCCAACAGAAGCGTTGTCTGACTGTGAACTGCTTCTGAAGGAAGTAAACTATAATCCAAATAATAAAACAAAATAAGGAAATAAGCCATAAATCAGGGTTTTCTAAGCAGCATAGCTTCAAATATTAAGGGAAAGAAAAGATGAATATGCTGCTTTCAATGGACTTAGAAAGCAATAGGCAACGGTATTATCCAAAACTAGTGCTGGGACACTTATAGCTACAGATGGGCCTTCAAATCTCAGTATGCAAATTCAGGCTATTAATTTTTTTTATGATTGTGTAAATAAATCACAAGGGGAAAATAAAGAATTCTCACATGTAATTATGATGAGTAGATGTATATTTAGAGTTGACCTAAAGGAAAAGATGAAAAAAATATCAGAGTCAAAGCCAAGATCATGGTGAGCTACAGTTTCACTCCGGATGTGCTTGTCTTGTAGTAAAATGAGGATAAGGTGTCTTTATATATATGTTGAATAATACTTGAAAAAAAAAAAAAGAAAAGAAAAAAGAAAAAAAAAAGAATGTAATTTTCCCTCCAAAGAGCAGCACGTTTCACATCTTCTGTGGAAAAGCTATGTGAATTCATGTGTGTCTGTCGTTTAACTCTACTGATATTGTGCACATAGACCAGTAATGCAGAATCACGGAATTAAGTATCGCTCCTTGGCTCATACTGGGAGAGTTTAGTGCCATACGCTGCCCAGGTTGTACCAGTCAGCAACGTAATTCCACGTGCATGTTGGAATCGGGAAAAAAAGCATCATGTCACAGCTCAGCCTAAGTAACTTGGACTTAAATACATATCTATACACACACACGCAGAACGCGTAAAAAATGCAAGAGCTAATGGTGACTGTTACTTCCTTCCCATTCTGTTTTCTTCCACCTATCCTGCAGTTTGTCAGGGATGGTAGGTGGAAGGAATTAAGGCTATGGAGTGGTATCTATTCTGATGTTCATGTTCTGCAGGAGACTTGCTGTAAAAATAGTTAGGCGTGGAAGAGGTTCTCATTTAACCAAAGAAATCTTGCAAGAAGCCTTGTCTTACCATGGTGGGAGCGAGCGCGCTGTTTTTGGATTTCATCTGACAAGAAAATTAAGGCAGGTTGCAGGAAATACAGCAAAAGCGCATTGGGAGAGGTCCAAGCAAGTTTCAAGTATGACATACCTTTCAGTTTTCACATACCTAGTGGATATACATTTCAAAGGGGGTTCTGAAGTACAGGGGCAGTTTAATGCTTTTCAGGTTATTCCTGTGTTAATACTGCTTTGTGGTGGTCTTTTTAAAGCAAACAAACAAAATAATGAACGTGTGTGTCCTGGGCAGAGGGAAAGGTAAGCTGTAGTCATTTCAAGACCGAAAATATGTTTGTAAAGGTGTAATAAGATGCATATAGATTTGAAAATGTTTTCAAGTGGAAATTTCAAAGAGGCTTAAACAAATATGTAATAGACACATATTTTGGGATGCATGTCTGAACTGTCGAATTGAGTGTTACAGTGGCTCATGTTATCTCTACCGTTTATACTGTATTTCAGGAAACACTTGCTCTTTTTAGTAAGCAAAACAATTAAGCAAAGTGCCAAATCCAGCAGTGTCTTTATGCATAAGATTGTCCAATTTAGAAAGCAAGTACTTTCTAAGTGTTACACTTTATGTTGATATAAAGAAAACTGAGAGCAACCATGCTGATTTGCTGCACGCCACTGCAGAACTGAGAGGTTTGGGGTTTCTTGATTTTTGTTGTTGTTTTTTACTTCCATGGTGGGGTTTTTTGATTAAAAATATTGATTTACTTAACAGTCTTTCTTATTACAGTTGGGGTGCAGGGTCTTAACACTGTGTATAAAACTATGTGGACTCCATCTAGATGTTTCAATAATATTGTATTGTACCAGGTGGAAAAATGCCAAATGAAAAGGCAGTTCTTTGCAGTTTTGTTCAAAGTAAGTTTTATCTGATGTGTACAGACAAAACCAATCCCAGGGAACTGCAGTAGAGTGTATTACAAAGAATAAAGATTATCCATATATATATATATATATTTTTTTTTTTTTTTTAAGATGCACAGAATGTGCTTTATTCTCTGTTTCACTTATCAAATTTTTCATGTAATGCCTGGAGAAATTCCAATAAATGTCATTGTTGCATTTCCCATGGCCTCTGGCTAGTTTTATTTTTCTACACTTTAAATACTGGTCTTATTCTTAATAATATTGTTTTCCTGGAAGATAAAAAAAAAAATCTGCTTATAATTTCTAGTTGTAAAAAAAAAAAATGTAGAACACAAGCAGGATAGTTTTTGCATGGTTTTGCATGCTCAAGGTATTTTTTTCTGTAGCTGTTTGTTCAGGTTTGTTCAGTATGTAAGCATGCTGAGAATAGTAATTTGATGGGCTCCTAAGGATGCTGTACACCTAGTTTGGAAGGAGGACGAGGGCACTGACAAGAAATAGGAATAAACTATAGAAGTAAAACTACAGTGAGGCGAGTGCTTCATGACATTGAGGACTTTTATCATAGAATTCATTTTTAGACACAGGTATGGCTTGTAACTAGGATATTTCTAGGGCATCTAGCTTGAAATCTACCCTGAAGTAGATAGGCTGCAGACCTTCTTCAGGTCAAAAAGCAAAAAAATTTACTTCTTCCAGTAAAAATATACTTGAAGGTGGTGGACAGGGAATACCATGTGTCCATCTGTCTTTCTCTCTCTATATATATCTTATAGATAGTTTTACAGGAGCAATTTCTGCTTGGGTTGTGATTGTGCTACTGTGAAGAGGAAGTCCAAGGTGCAATGGGCCAGAGACTGAATGGCAAGGATATTTGCTGGGGAGAAGGGGATGATTCCTGAATTTGGTCAGTTGCTCTGTTCTTCCTGTATCTTGCTTTTATCTGATGTTGGAGAAAAAGTTTTCAGAATAAAACTAGTTCTCTGCTTGATCTAAACATAATAGCTCTCACAGCTATTTCATCCTAAGGAGGAAAAAGTATCTGCTGTGTCCAGGAGCAGCTAACTTAGACTGGTTGCTGCTGGCAGAGATCTGTAATTTTAGCTAGCATAGCTGACTTGTAACAAGTACTGCTTACCAGGAGTACAGCTGAAATAGGTCAGGCTGCTAAGAAGGGCTAACATAAGGAAGGCTCTTTATGGTATCCACATCTCTTATAAATGGAAAATTTGATCAAAAAGGTGGGTGCTTTCCCCTCCCCAAAAGAAGAATATTTATTTAAGGTATCTTTAGGTTTGTATTTTGTTCACCTTTCTATGAAAGTTCTGTGAAAGATTTTACTGAAATTATTCTACTAATAAAGGGCATGTTCCAAATGAAGCCCCAAATTGAAAGTACAGACTGATCTACTATGTCTGGGTAATCTTAAGTGGGTCAATTATCCCTTCTTCAACATGATGCTGCTTTGCTTAATATCATCACTGTAAGAAGACAGAGTGATTTGCAGTAAAGGAAGGAGTTTGTGAAAGCAATTCCAATGAGTTGTGCAAGAATTTGGTGTCATTCTCACAGTCCAGAGGTTCTGAATTTGAATACTTAATCTAAACCTGAAGCTAGATAGGTATTAGTTTGAATACCCTTTTTGTGCATTGAAGTGACTAACCCCAGGCAGTGTGAACAGTGAATACGTACTCTATCTGTGTCGTCATCATAGATGGCTGTAGCATTTTAAACTGTATCCCAGGCTACACCATCAGTTCGAAGGGTTGTAATTGATTCTGTATTTCCATTGTTTAGCTTTTACTGTCAGTGTTAGCTATTAAATGCATTCAGGGTATGGTTGACTTTCCTCAAACCTTTCTAGTGACAAGAAAGAACAAAATTTAACTTTCTTTTCTAAAGAGGAATATCAAATGCCTAGCTATATCCTTCCTCCTGATATTTGGTGTGCGAGGGATAGAGTTAATATGCTTAAAGTTTAATATGTTAGGTCACACCGACTGAAAGCATATTAAACTGAGGAGCAGCAGTCGAAAGCTGGGGAGTAAAGTAGTGATTGCTTTTGTAGTGTGCTTTGAGCAGCTCCTGGAGTGTGTGCCAACTGGCTTGCAATGAAGTGGCATCCGTGCAATGAAGTGGCATCTGGCCGGATTGGTGCTTGGTGAGGTGTTTGATTTCAATATTAAACTTGTTTCCAGCTTGGTCCAGAACTTTCAACAAAATGCATTGAAGTTTCCTTTGAGTTGAGAAGGTTTTCCACTCGTTGACACCGTTCTCTTCAAAACTCTTGTTCAGCAACTACGTTTTCTGTAAGAAAATTGGGAATTGTTGGTGTTCTTGGTCTTATCATTGGAAGAACTTTTGTCTGAATGTATCCAAGCTATTTCTGTATTCAAATTGCAACTTCATCAAATATTCATTATGATAAAAGAAAGTTAGATGTTTTAAATGTATTGGTTGTAGTTTCTGATTAGAGGATATGGCTTACATGCTGAGGGAAGCCATGCATGTTTTGTTTAAAGTTCTGCTGGAACGTAGGTTGAAAGAAATACTGAGTGGGCTTGCATTTGTAAGATGCTATACTGTAACGGACTGAAAGAGATGATGCTTCTTAGTGGGGGAAATAGTCTTTGGAAATTTAGAGACTTAATTGTGTGCTTTTATCTGTTTGAACAATTAATTTAACCACCTGTGTGAGCTTAATATTTGGAGTTGCAAATGTTTAGATGTGTACAGCTATTTTTATCTAAAAGATTTAAACTGCTTGTTTGATCTAATCCTGAGTGGGGAAAAAAAAAAAAAGTAGCATTCTGTATAGTATAAACCTTCCCTCCACTTCTGGAATAGCCATCTGACTGAAAATCTTGTTTCAGAGCAGAAGAAACAGTGAGGAAAGGCTTACAGAGCTGTTCTGAGCCTATGTTTAATTTGACCTTGGTTGGGACTCTGATGCAAGTGGGCTGCCTGAAATAATGGCAATCTGGTAAAATGCAGATACCAAGGAGTACAGTGTGAAGTGAAGAGTAGATCCAGGCTAGCTGCATCTCTCAGCTTTTTACATCAGACTAGGTCAAGTCTGGTCCCATGGACTGAGTGCCCATTTGCCCCGTGTGGTCTGCATGCTTCTGGAAAGCGTCTTCTGGGTTAATTTTATGAGCTGAGATGGTGCCGTGGTGCAAACCAAGTCGGTAAGTGGGGATGAGTGGGAGATTTCATTGAGAAGTGTATGCCTAATGCTAACGAAAACCCTGTTGTAGGGCCTTGGCACGTAACTGTGCGCTGATGGTCTTGTGCTACGCTCCCAGGCAAAGCCAGCGAGCGTCTGCTCAGCACTTCGCCAGTAGGAAGCGAGGCTAATTTTGTATGAAGCTACTGGGCTGTCCACACTATGCTTTCCAGCGCTCAGCGAAGGGCAATTTTCCAGTCTGACAAACAGGTTTGCCTTAATTTTTCAGTGATTGCATGATCTGCTGAACTTGACACTTCTGACGAAATAACTTCATTATTAAATTTGTATGTTGTCCGCGAGGTGTCACTGTTGCTTTTATGTGTCTGAAGGTTTTGCAGTTCCCCTGTTCCTGTGCAATGTGAACAGAACACTATGGCTGTTGTTTTACAGAGGGAAATTAATTTATTCTCCTGCCTGGTGAAGCATGATGTTCTATTTGCACACTGTTTGTAACACAAAGTGATGGTCGTGGTCAAAGAATTACTGTAATAAGAGGACTTAATAAGTGACGGATATGGGCTTCTCAGAAATGGGTGCCGCAGTTGCAGTGTTTAGCCTCTTCTGTTGTGCAAGAGGACTATGGCACCACTTTAAGAGCCTACAATAGGCGTATTGTCCTCCAGCAATCTCATGCTGGTTGTCTCCTTTTGTACTGTTCTAGCTGAGCAGGATTTATTTTTGTCTCTTGCAACCAGCATGGAGCTGATCCAATTGCACTAAGATTTTCCACTTTTTTTTTTTTAATAAGAATTTCTTGCAATGACCTTCCAGTGTCCCTTAAATCTCAAAGAACTGGTCTATCTTTCCACATTTTATTTTATTTAATCTTATAGTGGTTTCAGTTTCAGAATAAAAAATGGAGAATTTGTTCCTATGACTTTTTCCTGGTGGTACAGAGAAAACGTTATTTATTACTTTCACTTTACAGTTAATGTTTTTCGTTCCAACAGCGTTGCTTTAGAATATCACGCTTGTTCTAAAATGCAGAGGACACATTCAAGATAATATGCTGTTCCAACCACCGTAAGAATAAAGACACAGCTGTTCCCAAATATGTCTGGATGACAAGCACAAGGCATGTTTACCTACCGACCAGAGCCTAATGTTGCAAACCATACTCAGGTAATTATGGCATCAGCACTTCCCTGGGGACTTCTGGGCATCAACAAAGAGACCACACCTCTTCTACAATGTTTGCATTTCTAAAAGCACCAAATTATAGATAGGCCTAATGCGCTTGAAGGTGCTTAAAGCAGGGCCAGTGCACTTCATGTGCAATATACTGTCATTTGAAAAGCTATCACGTTGTGGAAACATCATTCAAGTGCTAATTTAAATAATACTAACATCTAAAATGAAGGCATGTTCTGACATTTATAGGTTTAATGTCTATTTCTGCACTCTACCAAAATAGATGGGCTGTGGGTGGATCTATGATTATTGCTGTGCATTAGCAAGACAAAAATTGTGTAGGCAGCTGGTATTATGCCTGGGTAAATATAGATGAGGGAGAATCTACAGCATAATTTTTTGATGTCACATGTTCATTTAAGAAACAATTAGAAGCAATACATTAACTTAATGCATTAGACAGGCAGTGTCTAGGGCTTTAGCGAGGCAGAGGATCTTAACAAGTTTGGTGGCCAGACGCATGCCTGTCCCGCAAGGGCTGCAGTCCCAGAGGCAGCGATGGAGTCGCGCGGCCCGGGGAGCTGGCGATTCCCCACCCACCGTCGCCTGCTTGAATAATCATGGCTGTTGTGGCTGGATGCATTGCCGAGGCCATCGTTCTGGCTAAAACTTGTGATGTTTTGGGTCCTCTACCTTTGTGGTAATCCTG